ACAGATAATAGTAGCTGTAACCTGCATTCCCTTTCTCTTGAGCAATCCAATCTAAAAGAAATTGCTTTGTAAAAGGCAAGTACTATTTTTGCAGTTACAGATGTTATGGAATATATTGAGATCTTCACTACTTTTAATTCAAATTCTACGATATGTAAGATTTTCCATTGGAAAAATGGAAATTTCCCACATCAAAGACCTGGATTTAGGTGAAACATCCTTTGAAGTTTATCATGATACTCTTTACAAGCTGTGTTACAAGATCCTTGAAATAGGAAAACCATTGTTTTGGCTCTATTCAATGAATTCCTGTAAGACATTATGTCCAGTGCTAAGAATCAGAGAAGGCATGAGCTGCATGTAAAAGTCTTATACTAGGTGTTTAAGATTTATGGATTAAGTATGTATCTTTGCCTCATGAATAGACAATAAGAAATATCCCTTTGTGTGGTTTGGGGAAGTACTGAAACAAGTAACATTTGAGACTCTGGTGCTCTATTTATAGAACAAATGTAAAGCATTGGCTAATATAGATATATATGGAAAAAGAGAAACAGAAACTTGCTGCTTGTCCATGAACCAATGTACCAGAATTTCTGCCTCACAGATAAGTATATATAACACACACATTCTTCCTGATAGATAGATCAGTTTTTCATCGCTATTGCCTTGCATGTTATTTCTGGGGAAAAAAAATTCAAAATTATTTTCTAATTTATTAGATAACAGCTAGATAAGACAGACAGATACATGTCAGCAACACTGAAAATATCTGTTGCTTCTAACAATTTAATCTATTAAAAGATTTGGCTAATTTCTAAAGAAAGATTCTCTTATTTTTCAAGAATTCAATCTGAATTCTTCTACCTAAGTGTGCATGTTGGTTGACATGGCCATTTACAAAAATTGATCACTGTAGACTTTTTTTACTGCAGCTTTTTTTTAAAAAACCTTTTTGCTCTTTGAACAGAGAAATGCAACCAGAAAAGCAACTTTTGTTATTGCCTTATTTTTGTGATTAACTTTGTAACAGAGTGGTTTTTTTTGTTATTTTTATGTTAAATCTCCTGAAACCTTTTTAAAAAAAATTATATTACTAATATTTTCCAATTGCATTTATTAATTTAAACTATGTTAACATGCAGGTTATAGTAATTTTGTTTTAATTAATCAAATTTTGGTTTATATCAATACTGTCAGATGGAACTTGTTTCTTCTATCAACATTTCAATAGCATAAAAACTTTCACATAATCTAAATTTCTCATTGTGTTACAAGAAATGTTAGGCAACCAAGAGTTTCCCATTTTGAGGATGCCCATTTTCTTTTTCTTAAAATGTACTAAACATAAATATGTAACAGCCTATGTGTTCCCCAACATGAGCTGTGTATTTGCTCAAGTGATGTAATATTTGGGAGAAAAATACCATTTCGTCGCAGCACTTTTTGTAAACAGGTATTTCCATGTTTCAGTTGTTGTTCTGAATTGTCACACTGAATAAGGGAGCACTCACTAACAGAAATGTGCAGAAGGAAAAAAAGCAGCATATAATTATGCATGGCAAAATATGTGCTTTCTACAATGAGTACACAAGCAAGAAATTTTGTGATGAAATTTTCAATCAAGCCATTGCAGAATTTTCCATTCTTTTTTAAATCTAATATGCAACATACCACTTATTGACACACACACGCAGAGAGAGATACAGCAAAGGTCTTAATTGGCACAATGAAGATTAGGTTGTTCAAAACAATTATCAATAGCTATTTCTCTTACTACCTTAAAGAGCTGCCGCCCAGAAGACCTAAGTGGATTATTTCTCAAGTTCTTCCAACCTTCTACCTAACCAGCCGCTGCCATAGCCAACCAAAGCAGAAAACAAAGATAGCACTGCCTTTCCTAGGTTGTCTCTTCATAAGCTAGAACGGAGGTGTCAAACTCAAGGCCCAGGGGCTGGATCCAGCCCTTGGGGTGCTTAGATCTTGCCCATGGAACCACCCTAGAAACAGCAAAGGACTGGCCTTCTGCTGCCCACTGCCAGTAAAAACGAAGGTTGGGGGGCAACACCCCCACAAGCTCAGTTTTCACTGGCAGAGGGCAGCAGAAGGCTGTCATGACTGAAAATGGAGCTCGGGGGCCTGTTTTTGTTAGCAGAGCAGTTGGGCCACCACAGACGCCAACATGAGTGATGCCCATCCTGGCCCACAACGCTGGTGAGTTTGACACCCCTGGCCTAGAAGATCAAAGCAGATTTGCTCCTATTGGTGAACAATTCTTGCTGGGCCAAATGTAGGTGACTCAAGGCTCATTTCTGCTTCTAATTTTATTTGTTATTGTTCAGTGAATGAGGGACTAGTGCATGACATTGGCTGTAGCTATTCTAATCTGGCTCTCTGGAAAATGAAGGGCAGACAGAAAGGTTAAGGAGGGTACTGAAGAAGGACCTTCTCATTCACATGGCCATTTGCTAATGTATGGTGTCTTTCCTAGTTCTATATAATGAGAAAAACTTGTTTGTTCTGTGAGGGATAGGACTAGGCATGCAATACAAGCACGCATTTTTAATATTAATGAACTGAAGATGTAAAAAGATGGCGACAAATGTAGTAAGTGGGTTCAGAGTCTACCATATAGCTGAAAATAGGATTGGGCTATTAAAAATCTAAATATGGAATTGTAATACCATCATAGTCCCTCAAATCATTCTTTGTTAAACACTGGGACTTTTTGTCATAATATACATTAGTTACTCCAGAGAACTTTCTTCATCTACCACTAATTAAACAGTCCTTATTTGACATTTCTTAGAGACAAGGATTATACTCTAACATGTACTTTCCTACTGTAGAAAATAATTCCTTTTCTTCATTAGACAAAACATGGTACCGTCATATATCATTGTGCCTTTTATATATAAAATTTGTAATCTTGCTTGGGAGTAAAAATTAAGAAACAAAAATGAAGATTTTGCATAAATATCAGAATGGCAAAGCTAAGATACACACATATATAGAAACATTTTGCGCAGGAATTTAAGAACATCTCTCTTTATATAATTTAGTTTTCAAAATCTATTATTCTGTAATTTGGTAAGAGAGCTGTTTCCCCCTCTATATCCCAGAACAAAAGACATACTTTGTCTCTGATACTCTTAAACATTATGATCTAAAAATATGTTTTTTAAAAATAGAAATTTAGCATATTGACTCACACAACCCAAGATGTCAGGCCACTGCAGCACCTCCATAATATTAATTATATAAATTCATTCAGAAAAATCACAAAACAGGTAGAAGAAGCAAGAGTGAAGTATCCCAAAATAAAGATTTCTCAAATTTTCATCACCCTTTAAATGTTTTAATAATCAGTAAAATATTCAGTATTCAAATTAGAAAAATGCAAACAAAAACAAATGAGACACATTGCAGTGGCACAAACTAATTTCTGTAACTTTAAAACCACTCTCTCAAATTGCATGATTTTATTCAGAAATTTCAGAATACAGTTTCCTACTTGTTAAGATTTTGGTTCACAGAAACTCTTATAAACATAAAAATACTTTGCTTCCATAGTATAATGTTCATCATGGAAAAACTTGCAGAAAAAGTCTTTTGACCACAAATATTTTTAAACAGTTAGGCTCTAATTTCTTTATAAACCTATTGGCATTTTTTTCCTACAAAAACATACACAAAACAACACCATCAGACTTAAAGCCTATGGAAGGCAATGGAGCCAATTAACATCAACTTTTTCCAATTTTTCATCAAAAGAGGTGAAGGTGTTCGTCAAAATTGGGTTTAGGCTATAGGGCTTTGAAGTCATTGGAAATTTCTCCTATGCAGACCTCACTAAAGTGAGAAAAAACAATATACTGAGGCTATGGAAATCTTCTTGTTCCTGGCAGATTATCCCATTATAAGTATCCAAAATTGTATAGATTTTCCTTTTTTTTTTTTTCCAAATAAGAATTTGAATGAAAGTGGCAATGCACTTGAATATTTCCTATGGCAACTATTTTGCTATTTAATGTCACAGTCTTCAATTTTAAAACATGAATTTTTATTTCAAGAATAATATTTGAGGTTAATTTTGGTTCTCTTTATTTGCCAATTAAACTAAATGATAATGATGATAAATTAATGTTGAACAATAAAAGGAAAGGACATTTAAAACTAAGGCCAAAATTAAGTACTTCTTAATCTTTTTATTTTCCATGGGAAAAAATTATACATGTGGTTACCTCATCCAAGGAAATTAATGGAATTTAAATCCCTATTATTTAAGGTCCAATTGTTGTATTAATTACAGGATACAGGTAGTGCTCAACTTACGACCACAACTAGAATCAGAATTTCTGTTACTAATCCGTCCAACGTCATTATTTTTTTTGCAATGGTTATTAAGAGAATCACTGTAGTTAAGTGTGTGGTCATTAACTGAATCTGGTCCATGACTTTGCTTGTCAAAAGCTAGCTGGGTGGATCACATGACCCTAGGATGCTCCAACTGTCGGGAATACATACCAAGCAACTGAATTTTGATCATGTGACCATGGGGATGCTATGGTGGTCCTAACTTCAAGGACTAACTAGTCAGGATTTTCAGGGTCATAACTTCAAACAGATGCTTGACAAATGGTTATAAGTTGAGGACTACCTGTATTTTTAAATTCAATGCTACATCATTTTAAAAAAAATTCTGTTGAGACAAATCTCAGAGTTCTGAAATTACCTGAATAGTTTTATTTAAAGCCGATTTCTATAACCCCTTCAAAACATTTTAAATGTTTTAAGTATATTTAGCTTTTTGTTTGAATATTATTAATGACTTCCAGTATTCATTTTCAAAGGCTATTTTCAAATTTAAAAATGCTTAAGAATGAACAAAAGAAACAAAGCAACATCTGCAATTATGGAACTGCTTAGGAGATAGGAAGCTTTCAAAATGTATGATGCATAACTGTATTGGATCACATATTCCCTCCAACCCACAGTTATATGTTTTTAATTAGATATTAGGGGATCATTTTAAGCATGTATCCAAATTTGGTACACGGGTATTATTTTACCCCAAACTTTTTTTAAAAATTAAGAAAAAAACAAAAAAAACCCCAGACTATTGAAAATGACAAAATATATCCCATCAAGTTTCAATTTTTTACGTATGGTTGAAAACACAAGAAATGTGCTTCAAATGCATAAAAATCACAGTGGATTAGCAGCAAAGGAAATGGGGAGTTTAAGGACAATATTTATCATTCACATTGTGATTATTTTGCACACTGAATGAAATATAGTTATTTTACTCTTCTAAAAAATGCTTTGAGATCATTTAAAAAAAGAAAACCCCCAAATATCCATTAAACTCAAAATGCATTTTTTTCTTTATGCACAAAAATGAAATTATGGCAGCAAAAAAATCCCAGGTAATAATTAAGTTTGTAAACTGTGTATCAACCACTCTTTTATTTGTTGTTGTTGTTGTTATTCCCAAAGTGCAAGCTGCAAGTTTCCCATAAGCTTCAGTAGTGCTTTTCTTGTAAATAATCCTTCATTTTGTTTGGCAAAGGCAGTTTCTGAATCAGATCTATTCTGGTATACTGACGTATAACAAAGCGACAGAGATACTGCAAGGAACGCACTTGCATGAAACGAGATACTGGATTAGTTAGTCTGACTGGGTAAGTTGTAGATCCAGGTAATCGAGATCTCGAATAGCAAAATGCACCATTTTCAGAGTCTCTAATCGAGTGTTCAATTAGATCAACTATAGAAGTATGTCCTTCCACATCGGGCTGTTCATAAAAGCTAAACCTACCATTTGAATGCTCAATTCTAGTATGAAGTGTTTTACCATGAGAACGGAAACTCAGACTTAAAAGGTAGCGGTCATCAGAGCTGTCTCGTACAAGAAATGAACCGTCGGGAACATTTGCTAATTTCCCCTCTGCTTCCCATCGTGTGATTGGACCCCAGTACCATCCTTGTTTCGCCAGTTTTTTAAGTTCCTCTGTGAGACTTGTTACAACCATCGGGCCACTATTTTGTACAGAATCATAGACTCTTGCAACTCCTGGTGCAGAGTTAGGATCAAAATTCAAATGGCAGCGCATACTTTCAGCCACATGGACATCTGTGCCATTCAGGCTGCTAAAGTTCCTTTGGATTTGATTATTCTGTATTGGAGGTAGCAATGGCGAGAGTGGGGGAACTTCATTAACTCTTGGACTTTGCAACATGATTCCTGTTGTACCAATCAATAAACCGTTTACTGCTTGGTCCACAAAGATATCTGGAGCAACTACTACGTCTTGATTCACTGAAACCTCTTCTTCATGAAACGTACTACTACCCATTTGAGAAGAAACTGTCGAAACCTCCATGGGTGAGGAACTATCCAGACAGTAACTACGTGATCCTTCCAAAGGATACATTCCCTCATCTAAAGGCACAGTGTACTGAATGTAGTCCTGAGGCATAAGTCCAATAACTACAGGCACGTGTTCATCAATATGAAGATGCAAATCTCCATTCTGAGATTCTGTACTTTTGAATGCACTGTTTTGTTCATGGAACCTGCTGTCTGGCTGCAAGTCATGGAAATCTTTGCGTACACCATTCAGTGCAGGGCTTGGGTTTGTCGAGTGGACCAAGGCCTTTACTTTCACTTCCATTTTTATACATGTTTCTTCTGAGTTTGTTGGCCGAAGAGGCCATGGTGTTGGACTATAGTGGTGGTTTCGGAGGGATGTGGACCGAAGAGGTCTTTGAGCTCTTACCTCTTTGAAAGTTATTGGAGCAGAAGAAGAAGAAAAGGTATCTTCATCAGCAGAGCTCACAGATGGTGTGCTGCCCTTTCCACCTTTTTGTTTCTGTTTTGCTGAAAGTCGTCTTTTTAATGTACCCATTAAGCTTTCGCTCTTTGATCTGTTTTTGCCACCTTTCTCATCTTCGCCGTTCATGTCACAGGTAGCCAAATCTTTACCATAACAGCCTGCAAACAAGGAGTCATCTTTTCCAAAATCATTTAATGATGGCTGTGCAACCACAACGAAGTCACTGTCATCTTTGCTTTTATTTAAGTTAAAAGATTTACGAATGGTCTTGAGACTAATTTTCTTCATTATGAAATGCAGCAATTCTGGTAGGGATTGTTTATTCTTGAGTGTACCACAGATCTGTCCCTAAAACGTATGAAACCGATGCTTCCACATTGATGCACCTTATCCAGACTCATTAACTTTCAAGACCCATTTCCTGAAAACAAACAAACAAACAATAAATTTCATGCAGGACATGATGTGTAAAGAAAATGAATAACTAAAATGTAAACTAACAAAATCAACATTAATAATAATGTTAATATCAACATTACTACTGATCAATAATAGGCTATTCTGTTTCCCTGAAAATAAGACCTCCCTGGATAATAAGCCCAATTGGGCTTTTGAGTGCATGCACTAAAATAAGCTCTCCCCTGAAAATAAGCCCTCCATGAAAATATTGCAACACAGCAACAGCCATGAGGTGACCATGCTCGCTGCCTCCTGCACCTTAAAAACAATAAGACCTCCTCGAAAATAAGGCCAAGTGCTTAGCCGAGGTGGAGCAGTGGTTAAATGCAGCACTGCAGGCTACTTCAGCTGACTGCTAGATCAGCAGTTCAGCGGTTCAAATCTCACCGGCTCAGGGTTGACTCAGCCTTCCATCCTTCCGAGGTGGGTAAAATGAGGACCCGGATTGTTNTACGACATGCAATCAGTTGTATTTTTATCATTCCAGATGTCCGGATTTAGTTAAAATACATTATCCTGCAATCTAGTAACTAATGTTTGTAGAGTTGCAAATAAAATTATAGATGAAAGTAAGCATCTAGAAAATTTGTATTGCACAGTAAGTATCTTATAAATAATTATATAAAAAAGGAAGAATGTTTCTTGGCAAATGGAGTTTATGATCTTGTAATATGCTTAACTTCATGGTACCTTTGAACAACTTTCTATATTTCACTGAACTAGTTTACAATATTTCTTACCATTAATAATGGCAATCTGTTGTAAACACTGGAAACATCCATTTTTTTATTTTACACACACAGCGTAACTATCAATTATGGTTTATAAAGATTTTTTTGAAAAACAATTCAAGCATCTAAAGCAACACCACCACATACACAGACACAGACAGAGGGTACACATTATTTTAGTGTTCAATTTCTCCATTGCTTTCCCCACCTATTATTAATTCCATAATTGTCACATGCAGAATCAAAACAATTGCAATGATTACCGTATATACGGTAGCTTTCTATTCCAAAAGTTGAGGCACAAGGATAACTTTTAACCTGCAGTTCAGCATTTTGTAAGTGAAATACTTTGGTGTTTAATGAATGATCACAGATCAAGGACCACACCTAGAAATTTCTATTAGTTCACATACAATTGGTTTTTCTACATTAAGCTGAATATTCAAGTAGTTAAGTAAACAAACAATATTCATGCAGTATTCTTTTAATTGTTTATGAATCCATTTTCCCCAAAGAAGAAAAAGATATTATTTAACGCATGCGTCCTTGCCGGAACATTTTAGCACGCTCTATAATACACAGGAACAGGGTGTTTAAATTAAAGGTAATTTTAATGTTTTATCAAATCCTTTGGATGGTCACAAGACAAAAAAAGTCACGCAACTCTGTTCTTGCATCATTTATTATGTAGAAATGTATCAATAGGAGTGTATAATATTGCTAGACTGGTCTTCCTGTAGTTATTTGACTCAAATTTATGCCTCCCACCGAATTAAGTTACTTATAGCAACTTCATAGTATAAAACTATCACCCTCCGACTTTTTAGTTTGAAATGTTTTCACAGAAACAATTTTTATTATTTGAATAAAGTATCAAAGTATTTACCTGCCAGAAGTTCAAAGGGATGCATTTTAAAAATAACACAATTGCCTTAGTTCAACATAACAAATGATTATTTCTTTTAAGTAGCTCAACCTAAGTATACTATGTTAAAGGTCATGCAGTTGTCACCAGATAGCATTTACATGATGCTAGGTGCCCTTCCCTTTAAGGTAATTTTATTGTTTGATGTTACTATGGATATAAACATTACATACATCAACAGATAATGGCTGACCTTTAAAAAGATAAAAAGTCTTGAACTTGATTAGTTCTTGGATTGAAAACCACAAAGAAATCCTGGACACTAGAATATAGTAGGCCAGATGGTTAAACAGATCAATAGCAAATCATTATCTTATTGTTGCCAGGAAAGCAACATAGATCTGTCCACGCAGTCACCATGGATTGAGCCTGACTCCAGGAACCTTAACTTACTTCAACTAAAATGATGGTTGAATAATTAACCAATAAGTTGTTTTATAACATATCAACTTATGTATTTTCCAGATGAATCATTCCCTTGAAGTGCTATTTCAATAAGGTTTGATAAAATTATATTGATTCTACATCCACATCAAGAATAAGATCTACATCTCATTCTTTCATGATATCAATAAATGAGAAATATTAAACACATTTGAGTACTTAAGTCTATTTCTAAAGCAATTCTACCTATGCCCAATAAAATCTTCTCTAAAGAAGGTGCATATAGAACAGTACAATTAGAAAAAAGGTTGTGCCAACTACGTTCAGGAAGGCTAAAGGCTGCATCTTGAGTTTTCTGCTATTTAAATAAAGGAAGGTAAAAATCAATCCATAATCTTAAATTTACTACATGAACCATTTCTAGTCTTTAATTAGAAACACTTAATATTAAATTTAAATAGCATTCTACTATCAATATTATACTATCAAATAGCATAACGTTTAGCTTCTTCTGAAGGTAAGTATATTCTAGTCGTCTTCTTTTATTTTTACAATTATGCTACGACAGTCAATATTATTTAGTTGCTTTGTATCTTCAAACTAACAATTAAAAGAATTGAAAAAAATTATGTCCATTTACTAAAATGTAATAAAGGACGGGAATTTAGGAAGAAACAACCCTGAAAGTTTACATAAAAGTCCTTTGGGATTGTGTAGTATTAAAATATTTAATAAATGATAAATGCATAAATAAACAAATGCAGCCAAAGAAAAAGCAATTCATATATAAATATAAATCATGATAGTGGGAAAGTGATTTATAGAACAGAATACTCATTTTTGCTAAATGCAGGAAGTGTAAGAAAACATGAAAGAAACTAATTCTGAAGGCAGGCAGCATGCAATTGCTATTCAGGAATGAAAGAGTATATATTATGAAAAGAAATCCAAGTGCACTTTTAGCATCTTTTTAAATAACTATTTACCAGATAATAGAGAGACAACTGTTATTCGGTTTTTTGAAGAGAACTGAAACTACAACATTTTGTAATTGGAAAAAATATGTTTCCTCCGTTCATGCTCATATATAGCTTTTGGGTGCGCCACTTGTGCTGACATCACAGGAAATCAGGACTTTTTGCTAACCAAAATTATCCAAAGTTACTTTTAAGTTATTTTAAACTTTACTTTTTAAATGAATCAATGTCCCAACAATAGGAGAGCCTCATTCAGTATGTAAGACTAAAGTAAGGATGAAATTAATCACCACCAAATGAACTTTACTTCTGCATAAACTCATTTCCATTTATAATAGCTTCATTTAATGTAGTTTATCTTTAATTGTGGATTTTACTCAGTCTTTCCATCTTTGAACTGTATGATAATAAAAAAAGACAACTAGGCTACCCATGATGCAACAAAAGATACCTTACATATGTCATGGAAGCAGAATGGGAAAAATTCTCCACTACAGTTTTCTGTGGCTTGGTGCCTCCATACTTATTAAATTATAATGGCCATACTAACTGGACTAGAATCACTGTTACCTGGGAATTCCCATGCAACTCAACTGGAAGATAGAAAATTCAGACAGGTTATTGTCTCAACACTGATTTCAGCTAACTCTATAATACTGTGGTCCTTTACCAGGTAAATAATTTGACACAATTTTTTTACAGATCCAAAAAACAGTATCATTATATCTGCAAATGATATTTTTAAGTTCAAAATAAGCATTACTGTAGTAAGTTGAGGAAGAAAAAGGTAAGATGAAGAATGTATGTTAAACATTAAAAACCAAACTGATCAATGAAGTTATCTGGAACTGTTTCTTAGAATTGTATGGTCCCGAAATGGATGAATTTGTTGAACATATTGACACAATTTTGTTTTTAAAAATATTTAAACTGATTTAAATATTGAACGGAAGCAAAATATCTATTCCAGTACTAGTTTTGAAAGTTAACTAAAATACATACTGTATCACTTGTATGCTTACAATAGCAACATGTAACATTATTTTAGAATAATTATTAGAATGTAGAGATGAATCGNGAATAGGGCGGCATACAAATGAAATAAACCTTATAACCTTATAACCTTCCTTTGGGTCCAAGTGGGAAGAAATTCCACAGCAAACCTCAACTGGCCCGTTACTTGGGTAACTCCATGGGCACGTTCGACTTCTGAACAGGGAAGATGCTAATGAGCAAGGTGAACAAAAACCAGCAAAGGATGCACTATGACTGTTCATGCCAAGGGCCATTTTAAGCAACTTTTTGAAACTCTTGAAAAAAGAGAGGTCTTTGGTTTTGTTCTAATGTTCCATATTAAATCTATACCTTTTCAGAAAGCCAAAGAGGCTAACCAGATATTAGAAATTGAGCCCTATGAAGAGAGTCTGAAAGAGCTGATATATTTAACATTGCAAAAAGAGAACAGAGGAATTGGCTAGCACAGTTCAAATATCTAAACAGGTGTCACCTCAAAAAGGCCAGGACCTATTCTTTATCATGGAATAATAGATTTAAATTATAGAAAATGAATTCAAATAGAATGCTAGAGGGGAATCCTCTCAAGAGTAAATACATTTCAACAGGGGAATTACACAGACTCCTTAATCAGCGTCTCTTTACTACATGCATTCAAGGAGAGATTTGATAACCATCTTTTGGAACTTTGATATCTAGATTGATTCTTGCCATCAACAGATGATTACATTTTAGCTTAAATGGCTATTTCTTTTTAAGGATTCTACTTCACCTTTTATAGAAAAATAATAATTGAAAGTACCATTAACAGAAATTCATTCTCTGACATTTGACTTGAAAGCTATTAATATGGATGCTTTCCCAAGCCAGAGGAGCTATCCTTCCCATACCCAATTCTCTTTACTCCTGCTGCAAATAAGGCAAATATGAA